GCAAAGGCAATGTGCAGATTTTCCTGAAAACAGCAAAAAAATAACTAATCCTGCACTGACGTTTCTTCACTGCATTTATTTCCAAAGTGAAATTAAAATGGCAGGTGTGATGGGGCACGTGATGGGTCAGGCAACAACTGCAATCCAGGGACTTGGGAGGAATGAATCGTGGATCACACAGAGATCCGATAGTCACATTGACGTATGATCATTTGGAGATGGCACTGACATTCGGTTGCTACACTCTCGACGTGGATTCTGAGTGTGTCTCTCTCTGCCTCGTGTACGCGAGAGATTCCTCGCAGCACATTGGATATTTCCGCACACACACAAGAGCAATTAACTACATGCCTCAAGCAGGACCATTCTGCCAAAAGTCTCTGTACTCGGTGAAGCTCCTCTGCAAACACAGACTGTTAAACCTTCAGGTTTAATGAGATCGATACCCGAGTACATGAGTCACTCTGAAGGTCATAACGAAGGGACCACACGAGTTTGTCTCTATAGACAACAACTTTAGGAGAAAAAGAAATAGCCAGTGTCATGACATTGGATGTACTTTAACATTGCTTCCCAGTTCACATGCCATCTGAATTTCAAACACTATATTTAGATCACTGGCGTTGGCCATGAGCGGGAATTGAACTCAGGCTGCCGGGTTCGTAGCGCAGTGCGCTAACCACTGCACCCCTGCTTCCCACATATATGCTTCCTTCGCCAATGCTGGATTTCATGCCAAGAGAATTAATTTTGAGGTCAAAATGTTGTCAACAGACAATTTCAAACAACTACATATATCCTGATCTGGTATATATATAACGATCTGGTAAATCAATGTTTCTGGATATTTTCGACAATAATAAAACAGAAAAAAACTCAAGCGCACTTCAATAAGAAAACAGAATTGCTCTGTGAGCCAACATTGTCACTATAAAGCACAACACGGCATGGAAACATCCCGATCACCAAATAGTACTGATTTGTATCATACTGACTTCCCCAATGCTATAATGTGTTGTCCTCATTCTAAGGTTCAGAAACTAATCGCAGAGTGCTTCATGAAAAAATTGACCCTGCCGCAGGATTGTGCAATTTCCATACAATGGGCTCAAGTGTACCAGCAGTGTTTGGTAGATGAGCGCTGCCCCTATTGTGACAATTAATGTAATTATCACAATGGGGGCATAATTGTTAATTGCCTAATTTACATATATTTTTTTACTGAAAAACATGTTCGGCGTCACTCAAAGAAACTGTGATGCTTCCACGTTGTAATTCTGAATCCCAGAGGTCACTGTTTTTTGTGTTTAGTTTGTTGTCCTGCCACCCGCACCTCCGATTAGCACGCCTGGCTGCGCGCGGTGCGAAAGAAGTTCAATATACATACACAGGTGAGGTGGTTAACATGTTGCCACCGTGGTGCCCCATAAATAAACCATTCATTACTTCGCCTTTGTAGGAGGCAGCAGAGGGCATTGCAGAAAAATGCATCGTTGTACTGAACTTCTATGCTTCTCGCCATCCTGTCATTAATTAGCATGGTGAAGTCCGGTCAAACATCCCCCACAACTTGCACGGTGTGGGCAGGCCCTCATCCAGCAGTGGATTGACAAAAAGGGATGTACGTGTACACTGAAGTTTCGTGGAAATTGTTTAAGCCTGTCAGGTGTTTCTGTAGCTAGTGTTAATCTCACAGTGACAGAGTTGCCGGTTCGAATCTGGGACGGCTACGGCCAATCATGCCTTCAAAACCAATGAAATTGTACTTTTTAAACATACGTGCATACACACTGGTTCAAAACCCTGGTGCGGCAATATAAATAATAGGCAGGTTTCGTAAATCCCCCAACCCCCCGCCCTCCGCCACAGTTAGACAATTGGCAAGTTGCGTGTAGTGGAGTAAAGTGTGGGCACTCCTGCCCCCTTGAAGACATCGAGCCAGTGTGGATGAGAAGGTCAAAATACCTCCGAGGAAGGGCTCCCTTTGAGCTTCGCTCGTGTGGACATCCGACTTTATCAGGGAAGTGAGCGAGCAATTGTATGGTTGCACCTTTAGCTTTGCAATTAAGTAAAAAAAAAACCTGTCGGTGAACTGTTTGTCACTCCCATATGCTTGTTATACCCGTGTGGGGGAGCCTTGTTGCTGTTCTCAGTGTCACGAGAGCACAGTTGTCGTACAGACAGGTGTGCACTGCCAAGTGCCAACAAATGAATTCCACGGAGCGCTGGCTCTCGGTGCACACGGGCCTTCCAGTCGGCGGTGAAAGTCACCGTGTGGTGACAATGTCATCACTTTTAACTCAATAACAACAAAAAGCATGCCGTTGCCTCAACCATTCTTTCTGTTTTTTTAAGGGCCATGATTAAAAAAACTGAAACAAATCACACATTTGCAAACAGAATGCATGATTGTCAAAGGGGTCAGGGTGTTTCTGTTCCTCAAATGAGTGTTGGGTGGTGCTGTATTCCAAGGGTGGACATGAAACGGTGGTAAACTCAACATCCCATGGTGGGGGAGCACATTTTTGCAGGAGGGCTGCTGGCTGAGAGTTGCGGGTGTCATTTCTGGATTCCTGACATCAGGATTCATGATACCTATTGTTTATCTTGATTTGGAAAGTACTCTGCATGTAATTACTGACAGCAATTTAAAAGTGATACATTTAGTATTGGCTGGAAATTCTGGGGTTGTGATGCATTGGAAATGCCCATTTAATGTGATATTCAAAGCTTATTAATGCCTTGAATGAATGATGCCGTGCTATAACGGATCATTATTTATCAATCTTTTTTGTTTTTGGTTTGGCTTGCTCACCATCAATTATAAAATAAATTGTTCATAATTTAAAAAGTAAGATATTTAGAGATGCAGTGTTCCACAATAAGTACAATAAAATCATAAACCTACAAACACATTGCTTGGAAGTTGCTGATGAAATTAAATGTTTGCAGTTTCTACAAATTGTTAATTTTGTCCCTTAACATAGCACAGTGATAAATAACAACGGTCAATGTTTTCGTGATTCATATAGATAAATACTTAATTTGTTGACTAAAACTGATTTAAACTCATTTAAATTGTAAGTATTAGCATGTGTGTTTGGGGGGGGGGGGAGTATATATGTGGGAAGCAGGGGTGCAGTGGTTAGCGCACTGCGCTACAAACCCGGCTACCTGAGTTCAATTCCCGCTCATGGCCAACGCCAGTGATCTAAACTGGTCCTGGGCCTCGCCTAGGTCGACTCAGCCTCGAATTAGTACCTGGTGCCGTGTGTAAACATTGCCACATAGGGAGACAAAGCTCCCTGGGTGTAGTGTTGGCCACCCATTCCCCTATATGCCATGCTGGCCTTGAGGTGCTCGCTAACAGCGCTTGCCGCGAAAGTATGTTAACGCTATATGGGGTATAAAAAATAATCAGCTGTTACAAGATTTTACCACCACCTGCTGATTTGTGTGGACACATCTGCAAGAGCAACCATTGGACAATAAGCGTCACATACATTATCTATTTGCAGTCAAACAGACGCATTCACACTAAGTACGTGATGAATAATTCAATTACAGTCTAGTCGTATAGGTCAAGAACTGTTTCAGGAGGCTCCCTATAAATATGTTTGAGAGCTTTACACTTCAGTGGTGGAGACATTGAAGATGGAATGACACACAATTCTCGCCCGTTACCTCCACATCTTGTCATCATTCCCTTGAAAACTCACATGGATGCACCCAAGCTCTTCTTGACACCTTGACATGTGGGCGTGCCGCCACATGACCTAGGTCAAGCAGCTGCATGCGAGTAGAATTCTCACAATGTGCATGCAGTGCACGTGCGTGCGTGCGTGTGTGTTTAAAATCATTTTTAGCTTCACATTTAAACAAAAAAAACTGTTTTCCACCATTTGCCAATCCACCGTTGAATGAAGGCCTCCACGCCGCTGTGGTTGTTATATGAACGTACTTCACCATGCTAGTGAGTTGTTGCAAAGTGTGAAGGGCAGGGCCCAGGACTGGTTCCAATATAGTTCATGGGCTTGAGCAGAAATTGGTACCACCTAAGATGTCACAAATTTAGTAGCAGCAATGTGTTTGCATGGTTAATAAGAGTGCATTGTTTTATAACTTACTCATTACAAATGGTTGTCACACTATTTACTTTTATTGGCCACATAAAGCAATTAAAACTGTTAAAGTTATCCCACCTCAGGTGCTAACAATAAGTGAAATATCTAGTCTGGGCTCATGGACAAATGTTACTTGACATGAAGGTAATCTGGAAAAGGAACTCGGGCTTCAAGATTCATGATGTAATGCAGACTACTCCATCCAGATTTATATATGGCAAAAGATAAAGCTCAGGTGAGTAATGCAACAGCTCACGTCTCATCTCCAGCAGTGGTGGAAATTCTATACTCCCATGGCAAGAGGGAAAAGGGGGGGGGGGGGTGATCTCTCCATGAAATTAACACATTTGACTACATGTAAAACGGTAAATTATTTTATCGACCACAGATAGATGATAGGCCGAGCTGTCCCCTGACCATGATTTTAATTTTAAAACTTCTAATTGTGAATCACTTGCTTTGGACGCAGTCCTTCTTGCACTGCAGAACAAACAGGAAGCAAAGGGGGGCAATTTCCCCAATAGGTCAGACTCTGAATGGCAAAGTTGGAGAGTTTTTTTGGTTTGTGGGTATGCACCACTGACAATGCAGTGCCTTACCTTCCAATATTGTTCATCTGAATGAGAGCAGTTGTGTCGGAACAGACAGAGAAATTAGTGAATAAACCCCACAGAATTCTCAATAACAGGAGCAGCAGCAGCAACAGCAGAAATAGCAGTAGCAGCAGCAGCAACAGCAGCAGCAACATCAGCAGTAACAACAGTAGAAGCAGCAGTACTAGCAGGAGCAGCAGCACTAGGAGTAGAGGGTGCCCCCCCATTGTGCAGCGTGCGCTCCAAGGCAGGGGACGAGCACGAGGTTGCTTTCACAGCTCACCAGGCGAGGCGATGTCGATCCGGCGTCCTTTGAGCATCCTCTGAACGCGCACCATCTGCAGGGCATTTTCGCGGCGTCGCGCCCGATCCGACACGTGCTGGCACGCCTCCGCCACGGCCCTCACGGCCTCTGGGAGGGCGCAACGGAGTAAAACAAACACAACGCAAAACCATCGCCCGACGCCGCAGCAAAGCTGTCACATGTCACAGTCCGTCAAGTGCGGCTCATCTAATCTGTAAAATATTTAAGCGTTATTTTAATATGCTAGAATTTCGGCAGCCTACTTCGCTCCTACGGAGTTGATTCTCGGTGCTTTGCCTGTCACGCCCACTAATGTCCTCCCCCCCCCCCCCCCCCCCCACCAATGCGTGCTGATACTACGGACTCTGTTGTATGTAGGGTGTGGGGGGGGTGACATTTATTTTGGGGGGGACTACAATTTTTGGGAACCTGTTGGATCAACTTTTTACCTCCACATCTGAAGAGGCGTCCTCTTTCTATAAATTGACGGACAAACGGAATGCCGGTCTTTTATAATAGCTTTATATATTTTTTCATACGTGTGAAGTACCACGTCGCATACCTGACTTGCTGAGGGATTGAGGGTATAGGCGTTTATGTGACAAGGTCAGATTTGTGAACATGCATTGGAAATAAGTTTCACCGTGAACAAAAACCGCGCTGGGTGCGGGCGGTTAAAAGGTCAGGCCGGATGTGTGATGGACGTATATGCGATTGTGAAACTTTGATTTAAATGCATGTCAGAAGGCTGTGTTTTCAAATCTCAGTAGTCAGGTTCGATTCAACCTACCACCCCCTTTGGGGACAGTAAAATAAGCACCAATTTGTTCCAAGTAAAATGTACGCATGCTATGGAGCGACTGACCTCCATCACAGAAATGTAGAATTTCCACCACTAGCTTAGATGACATGCATTGGTCTCATGTTTATTTTAAGTGGGGATATTTTTTTCTTCCATACATATACAGTAAATAGTATAAATCCACACTGCAAGGTGTAATTCATGTTTATATACTGTATATATACAGATGTTATGTAGGCATGGAACAATAATGAGTTCTGCTGTGCCTCATTGAGTGGGTTACGGCATTTCCACTCTAAGGCCACGTGCTATCTCGTAATGGCCTTGCGCTCAAGCACTGTTCATTCCAATACTTTGAACAAAGTATGGTACACACACCATGAACCAATCAGCAAAATTGAATCAGCAACAGCTGTGGGCATGTTATGATGGAAATTTTAAAGACCAATTAATTTGGCTTGTTTCCAACTTTTTTTCATAAAAATGTGAATCATTTCTTTCTCCTCTATACTCATTGGTTTTAAGAGGTCTGTGTATTGTCGTTTGATTGCTATTAACATTCCACTCTCACAGCTTTCCTTTTCCTCAACATGCTTTTGACGATTTCAGATAACGCGGTGATAATTTACAGATTTTTTTTTACATTGCCCCTCACATTCAGTGCCCTCTACACTACAATGTTAATAATTTTTCATTTTATTGAGCAACCACTGGATCTTCGCATTAAGAACAAAGGAAGAACGTCTGGACCAGATGGAATATCTGTAGAAATCATGAAAAGAAACCAGACCAGCTGCCGTAGATAAATTAGCGGATGTGTTTTCTAAAAGTTTACAAAGGAATGAAATTATTAATTCATTGACTGATGCCTCAATAAATTTGTCTACATAAAATGGGAGGCAAAACCGATCTGGAAAATTATATATTGTATTAGCCTAACATAGCTTTATAAAATGTTTACCAAAAATCATAGGTAGAACAAACTAATGGACATATTAGAGGCTAATCAACCATAAAAGCAAGCTTGATTTACACACGCTTTCTTGATTTACACACACGCTTTCTTGATTTACACACACGCTTTCTTGATTTACACACACGCTTTCTTGATTTACATACACGCTTTCTTGATTTACACACACGCTTTCTTGATTTACACACAAGCTTTCTTGATTTACACACAAGCTTTCTTGATTTACACACACGCTTTCTTGATTTACATACATGCTTTCTTGATTTACACACACGCTTTCTTGATTTACACACAAGCTTTCTTGATTTACACACAAGCTTTCTTGATTTACACACACGCTTTATTGATTTACACGTGCTTTCTTGATTTACACACACGCTTTCTTGATTTACACACACGCTTTATTGATTTACACGTGCTTTATTGATTTACACACACGCTTTCTTGATTTACACACACGCTTTCTTGATTTACACACAAGCTTTCTTGATTTACACACACGCCTTCTTGATTTACACACACGCTTTCTTGATTTACACGTGCTTTCTTGATTTACACACACGCTTTCTTGATTTACACACACGCCTTCTTGATTTACACACAAGCTTTCTTGATTTACACACACGTTTTCTTGATTTACACGCGCTTCATTGATTTACACGCGCTTTATTGATTTACACACGCTTTATTGATTTACACACACGCTTTCTTGATTTACACACACGCTTTCTACCATTGACCACATTGAATGAGATTATAAAAAAATAATACCAAATACCATTATGCATGACGTTCATAGAAAATAAAATGAAAGCTCTCACAGAACCAAGGCCTTCGTTAAATATCAATTATACGCATTTATTTATTTATTACATAGCTACATTGAGATTTCATAACAAATGTAACAAAAGAGAAATCAGCGGAGTCGGGGAAGGAATTACGCCCTCACCAAGGCTATTCAAAGCAACATTTGAATGTATTTGCCGAAAACTGTATTAGTGAAATTAAATGTATGAACATTAATGGAGAAAGTTAACAAATCTGAGGATTTGCTGTCAACAGTCGTTATAGCAACCAATGGGAATGGACTACAGAAATTTTAAACTTAACAAAGGATGTAAAGCTGAGAAAGATAAACAATCAACAATAAAGAGTTGCGTACAAAAAGCTAGCTAAGCAGTTGTCGTTGTCAAACACAAGTTTACGTGTATGTAAGGGCCGGAGAAAATGTATGAAAGAAAGAGAAAATTATGAAATAAAGAGAACACACCAAGCTGCTTGGCATTCTTGTGGAATGTTGAATTTGTTCATGGAAAGCAACGATCATGTGAACAACTGAGGAAAGATTTCAATCAGTGACATTGTCTGCTATGACATGGATCTGAAACATAAACACCGACAAAGAAATAAAAACAAAAGCTGAAAGGTGCACCAATAAGCATGGAGGAATGCATGCTGGGAATTACACCGAAAGACAAAAAGTAGAACCCATGGATCAGAAGAACAAACGCAATTTAGAAACATCATAACGACCGTGTAAAGAATTAGGCTCTGGAAGTATACATCGCAATAAGGGAAGATGACCGGCGTTTAAGACTGGTGACAGAATGGCAGGCCTAAGTCGGGCAGACGCCTGATTGCACAGGGCAATGAAATCAGCAAATTCCGAAATCGCTTCGGAATCATTTGTTGATTCACTTGCCCACAAACACCATACTTTTACCGAGGCATTCAACTCAGCAATTTTGACACAAATGTGCACTTTTTTTGGGAGCATTTTAACATTTGCCAGGACGTAACAACGACGAGTATGACTATACTCCATTACGCCAATCACTTGCGAGACGGTCGTTAACACATTTTTCAGAGCAATCAAGGGGTTTTGTTAGCAGTTTTGTGATGTGATAACTGTGTCTTAACTGTGAACGGAAAGGTCCAGCATTCTCTTCAGAAAGCCTACAGCCAATTTGCGTGATCATCAATCAAAGGAATGTCACATCCCCGAAAGGAGGGGCTTGCTGCCAAGCCCCCCCCCCCCCGCCCCCCCCACTGTTGTAATTTTCACGTCACAATTTCACAAAAAGTCGCATGGCGCGTGAAAAATAGTAGCAGCTGGTCAACCAACACTCTTCAAAATCAACAGACAATGACGACTTTATTAATAAATTAAATGGCAATTTTCGATTTAAAGCTTTCGTGACTGCAAGGATTCATCTTCTTTGGTTCTTTCGGTAAAGTCACGTAGAAAATAATAGGAGTTGGAGACTGCACTTTATATTATGGGGCCCTGATGCGGGTTACATTAAAAAAAATATGATGCACAGCATGTGAATTGTTATTTAATAGTAGCCATTGGGTGACAGAGTCACTCTTCGAAGTAATCAAACAGTATTTCTCATTAATTAGCATTACTAGAGTTTGAATACCCCGTTCTCGTGTGTGCAATGGCGCATGTGCATGGACGTGTCTCTGTGTGCTTTCTGTAACATCTTCTCTTTGTAAACATAGGGTCAATGGCAGCAAAATGATATCTACGTTGTTTAAGATTGTGTGTGTTTTTTGTTGTTGTTGTTGTTGTAAGAAAGCAAACAGAAAAACAAAACCAGGATAGAGAGGGTCGTCAAGTGCAGTACAGATTAATGGGTCTGAAGAAGAGCCAGAGTTGCGACCTATGGCATAAAAGTGAACCAGAGGAAGGAGAGAAAGCTAATGTTTTCTTAACATAACAATAATTTTGATGTCCAACGGAAAGTATAAAATTCCGCTCATCAAAATGTAAGCGTGTTGGAAAATTATCCTCATCATTTGTAGTCATTCTCTTCGTCCTGTCCCAAATGAAATTTCATAACAAAATGGTTGAACATCTCGCTGGATTTTATTATTTTTGGTGGTGCAAGATTAGACATGCAAAGATAAAGGTTCCTGTGTAATCTGATGAACTATTAGGAAGATTAGTTAGTAAACATCTATTCAGGCTGGCACAGCATGAGTGCAAGGTCAGCCAACACTACGCTTAGTCACTGCTGTCTCCTCCACTTCCGATATCCATGACCGCACCACCATTCGCATGAGGCTGAGTTACCCTAGAAGGGGCCAAATCTTGACGAAGATTCCATTGCAACAGGAATAAGACCGATGTTTCTGGGATTGAAATGCAATGCATAAACCAATGAGCCCATGAGTGTCCCTCATATATGCACACATGCACACACACACACACAGTAAAGTGCAAAAACATGGTGATTCTAACAAGTCACTGCCCTTAAAAAAAATAAACAAAGGGTTTAAATGAGCCCATTAGTGTCCCTTCTAGCACATCACTGCCATACATCAAAAATAACTCAGCAGACTGATTCCTGATGTCGGAAAATTGGAAGGTTAATAGGAAGATTAATTGGAAGATTAAAGCCTCTTACGAGCCTATTTTTTATGGTTTCAGTTTTTTTTTACAGTGCCAATGGGCTATTCAAAGCAGCACCACACGAAAACTATTTGCTTGGGGCCTCTGGTCAGACTAACGAGTGTGTTTCTCTCCCTCTTTCTTGAATAGATGAACAAAATGTGGGCCTTGTCTGTAAATCAAATTTTTTGTTTCAACATCGAGCCAGTTCATATCCAATAGTCACGGGAAGTTTGCCAGTACTTACAGTGCCGAGCGCGAATGAGTGATAATTAACAAAGATCCATTTTAGACCACCTTTCAGCACATTCATCACCGACTCGGTGGAGACCAAAGAAGCAGCTGTGCACGAGAGCTCGTAAGTGGGGCGACCTGGGCTCATTGTAAACCAGTTCATCCTCGGCTTGAACCCAGAATCTCATGGGGAGCAGGCTGAGTGGCCTGACATTGCCGCTGGTCTCCTGAGTCTCTCGGCCACCTTTAAAATCACGTGCTTTGATTTTCCATTATTTGTTTTTGTTGAGTGCGGAACACAATTGGGGCTACTTACTTCTGAGCTTCTGAAACTCGCCACTGTCGGGGTTTGTATTTTCTGCGAGATCCCGCACAAAATGCTTGTACCTGCGAGGAAAAACATTCGAAATTATTATGACTACTTGATTATAACAGCGAACCCAGAAGTCTCGAGATTTTCTATTATATCACCTGTGGCTTTCCATGAATCATAAGCAGTGGTGGCAAATCCATCGTATTATCCGTGCTGGAAATGATTGACCCAGGAATTGTCTCCTGGAAGTGCGACCTTCATCTTAATAGGATACCGCGTTTAAATACCTTTTTTGTTAGTTGTGCAATATTCCTCAAGGACTCTGCACTCATTCTCTGCAATATTGACAGTTTGTGTCTTTGTCTTGTTGCTGCTGTGCTCATGCACCACGGATCTCCCTTGTAAAATAACCGGCCAACCGACTAAAAGGGGTTATTCCGTGAAACAAATAAAATAAACTCAAACTGTATCATGAGGCCTTCTTTGCCAGCACCAAAATATACTAACAGGGTTTTTCCCCTTTTTTCTGGCAACAAAACTGACACCTTTTGCAAGGAATCATGTTTACATTAACCACGATACTTGCAGCCAAAATGCAAAGAAAAAACAATACTCTGATAATTTATGCATTGTCCTTGAAACTCATTGGTCCACACCAGAGACAGCTTTCCTGAGAGCCTAGTCCCAAACGGTGTTCGACCAGATGACGCCAAAAGGTGCACAGTTCAAAGACAACGCACAATCAGAGTAATGAGAGCTCGGGGTAAGCATTTACATCATGAGGTTATTTGTGTGCATAATAAATGAATGAATGCCCCGTGCGCCCCCCACACACGCAAACACAGCAGGTGCAGATGAAGTGAAGGTGTCAATTGCAAGTCGCCGTCTGAATTTTGGTTCATCAGCCTTCGCAGTTGGTCACCTCGGATTAGTTTGGTCACCCAGCTTTCCGGCATTCTGGCCTCATGCATGCACAGCACAGACTCGAGACTGCCAATAATGGCAGTTTCATTCGGCTTCCATTTGGGCATTTCCGCACGGCACCTGCACGATCGCTCGGCGGGAAATCTTACTAGCGGAAGGGGCCCTTTCCATTTGTAGAAATGTCATCTTTATTCGCTGGTAATGAGGTTTTTAATGCGTCGCAGCCATTTCACTGTCACAGACAGACATCCCGGGTAAATGGAATCTGACTGCATGGAAAGCCTTTCAAGCGGCATGAAAGCTGATGTGTTTGCTTATAAATTGCTTGAATATCAGTCAATCAAGTGTAACCACACCACAGACTATCACTTCAATCATGCATTTGCATTTTAATTTGATGAGAATCACATGACATCGTCGGTAAAAAAAAAGACTGCTTGCCTTGGATAAGACAAAAGGGAATCCGTGAATACTAAACTTTTATTTCCAAAATTTACATGCTGAATACTTACACAAAAGTAGTCAAGGCATGTTTGTTTCATGACAATCGGTATGCTATTCAAGATTTATGATTACTTCTGTTTGTACAACCGGCCAAGTGGCCTCGTAGTTAATGGCAGGCAATTCACAATCGGGCAGTTGGCAGTTGTAAAACTGCAGTTGGGGCCCAATGCAGCCTATCATCTGTCTGGGTCAATAATATAGGTACCGCATTATGTGCAGGCAACTAGGTACCCGCACGGACTTTTTTTTACGTGATCGATCCTAAATTGGCACGAAAGACCTGGCTTCCCCTACATGCCAAGGACCTGTATTCCAGAGTTCACTGCTCTTTGTGAACAGTTTGTTGTCCCATCCCCCACACACCTCCAATTCTCACCGTTGGCTACGTACGGTGCGAAAGAATTCCAACATACATGCGACTATACACGTGGAACAAAACTTATCTTGTTTTGCGGCTGCTTTGTTCGAGTTCAACCAAAACTAGCACAAACATTACAATATTGTAGTTATGTCTGTCGATATAAAGACATGTTGACATCCTTCTTCGGTAGCAGACCTTATCAGGTAATCTAACTGCATTACAAACGTTTGTATCCAAATGGCACAGTTGATTGGGCACCTAATCCTCAATAACTATGCCTGCACGTGTATTTATATCAGCACCTGTATGTACATACAAAAGTGTGACACATACTGCATTCACGCTTTATTTATTCGAATTCCAAGTGCAACTTTAATAGGGGGTTTTTTTGTGCAAACAATCATCTGCTCCTGAGATAAGACCTGCATGTGGCAGACATTGTGGTGCTCCGTGTATTATTATGGAACAAATAGAGAGCTGTGTGACCAATACTCACAATTGGCAAGATGACAAATAGCACAACGGGCGGCTGCAAATCCAGCTCGTTTTGTATATTTCGAGTTCATATGCAATTATTTTGCTTGCCGTCTTCAACGCTAGCAATTCGAACTTCTAAGCGGCCATTGCAAGGTGGCCATTATTGCTACATGCTCAAAAAGGAGGACATTGCCATCCCTTGCATAACATCCAGATAGGAGCATACCTACCCACTGCTAAGACATCCAAATAGTGGCTGCCAAAAAGGTGAAAGATGCGGCCCTGAAATTCCTTGCTCACGCCACAGCGGACGAGAGAGCCTCCGCTATAGGATATTTATCCAACTTCGCACGCTACTCAGACGTCCTGTCAATCAAATAACTGTGACGTACTTCACTGCCGGGCAGACAGCGCAGGGGGGTTATAAAACATCACAATAAACTACAAAATGCGATTGAATACTGTATTAAATTAAGCATATTTATCTATATAACGAAAATAAAAATGTTACGTATGATGAACTTCTTTCGCGCCGTGCGTAGCCAACCGTGATAATCGGAGACGCATAAGACCCCCCCCCCCCCTATTTATATCTTACTGATAACAAGCATCTATTAAGGCCAGCACAGAAACCATGCACAGCCTGCCTTTCTTTCCCAAGTGCCAATGATGTTCATACACTGCAAAAGGTGCTCACTTAAGGCTGAGTCAACCTAGGAAAAGTTTATGGACCGATTCGGATAGCGCACACACCACCGATGTGCACAGCCAACACCTTGAACTTGGTTCACTGGGAATGTAGCGGAGTGCATAAACACCGATACCACTGCTGATAAAAAGGCATGCGCATAATATCCTATTGCCCAATAAATATGCATCTTAATCATCACTATTTAATAAATGCAATTAGATAGTCCGAAAACATTACCATGGCAATAACTCTTCATTTTCACTTCCCAGCATTAAGTCTCTGCAGCATGTAATTTTTTTTTATAAAGTTGCAACAACAAAAAAAAAAACATGATGCACGCCTTTGCTTGACCTTAAAAGTGCCCATCATGTCCACCCATAAAATGTAAACAGCGGAGAACGACTTTTTTTATTTATGAATATGCAAGCGTCTAAAATTGCTGCGCCCATCTCTGCTTCCAGCTGCCGATGTCACATGTTAGTGCCTTTATGGCGAATTTCTTTTAACACTGACAGCAGGGGCACTTTGCTCTATCGGGGAGAACTCCGTAATGTTTCCACGCATCGCCCTAATTAATATACATGGAGGCAGCGGCGGCAGACGCTAATTCACTAATTCGCTGATTATCAAATGCAATTAGGTGCGTGACGAGACTTTTTATCGTGCGTGCAGCTCGCAATTTTGTTGACCTTCCCAAGTGCAGAGTGTTCCCTTGGGCACACGGGTGGGAACGACCCCTCTCACTCCCTGGGGACGGCTTAAGTCGGCCGGTGATGTCTGTGACACTGGCCACACAGCTCGCCAAACCGTCGTACGGCAGAGGGGCAGCGAGAAGGGGATTCCAGGGCTTATAGAATATCGCGCTTCCATTTATTTGTTCGATTGCGCTTTGGTGCGAGCGGTCACGCAGGCGAGTGGAAGTTTTGCAGGTCCGGTGCTCGAAACGAAAGTGTTACGAAACACAATGCCTGTGTTGTTTATTGCTATGTCCTTCAATATAGCCACGCGATACAATACGTCCACCGGTCAAAAATTCAAAGTACGTCCACGTCCAAGAGAGCTCGGGAGGGTTTAGTCAATTCCGTTGATGGCCCTGGTCCACTGGTGGAAATTCCACGTTACCAGGTCAAACATCATTCTTTCTAGAGGACGGGCACATTCGACTTCCCATGAAGCGGTATTCATTTGCGCAATGGATATAAATACACACACACACACACATTTACATATTTTATACACACAGTAAAATAATACATATATCACTAGCAGAAATGCAGCCTTGTGTTACTGTTAAAATGTCGATGTTTGATTTTATATTTTTCATGTCATAAACCATACGTTTTAATTAATATGTTTATTCAAAAATTAATTAGCTGACATGCATGACAGGCAAATTTTATATACTCATGTCATTTACCGCCGCTCACTTCCCATAAATAATTGGTTTCCATTTTAAAAACATTGAATCCTTTAAAACTTAAATTGAGGGCTTTATGCAAATTAATATATTTTTAATTGCGTCTAGAATTAGTTTTTTTTAGGTCAATCTAAGAAGGGCATTACGTGATTGGACACGAGGTAGGCGGAGCATGGTTCGTAACTGGGTTGGGGTCACGCGGTGTCCTGAGCGATTCTGCTGGCCGTGGCAGTGCGCGATGACTTTGAGGACGTCAGCCAGGTGTGCGTACTCGCACGCACAGCGCTAACTTGACAGACGCGACCCTCCCACTCCTACCAAACACGCCCCAGCCCCCCTACCCCGGTCATCACCCCCCCCCCCCATAAAAAAATCACCCTCGCCACCCGTGGTGAATCACTTTGGGGGCACCGGAGCACCCAGGTGTGTCCGACTTTCAAACGTCCGTTCATTTATCACAAAAATAATAATAACACCACTGCGGTGACGCTCACCCAGAGAGAAGTGCATCCGACTGTGGCAGACTGATCTAGCAGCCCAGCCTGCCTGACAGCAGCAACAGCAGCGGCAGCGCGAGCATCAGCAGCGACGGTAGGGCCAGCATCTGCCCCCGTATCTCAGCCGGGCAGGTTCGAACCGAGCCGAAGACGCACTTTTGCCCCCGGTCGGCGACCACCGCCGAGCGGGGCCCTCCCCGCGGCAGACGGCCCGCGGACGCGACATATGGCGGCGGCCGCCCCGCCGTTCTCCGCCAGTCCGTTACCTCCGAGATTAATTAGGTGGAGGGCGCTGTCAAGCTACCTGCGGGCGAGCCCCGCGGGGGGGCGATCGCTTATCGACAGACTGACAGCCTCAAGGTCGCGTCGCCAAGACGGGCAGCATCGACACGAGGCAGATAAACTACGGGCTTAACGAACACCGTGGCTGACCTCATTCAAGGACACCGATATTGGACACGAATGAGGCCGGCCAAAGTAATTAGCTATTTGAAAGCCATTACCTGCTTTTGCTTGATTACCGCGAAGAACAAAAGGGAGACCGTAACTTTCTTTGGCTCGCCAAGCATCGCAAGGCTGCGGGATTGGCTTGTGTCGGTGACTGCTGGGTACATTTTAAAAATGCGCTAATTTTGCGAGCCCGTGTAAAGCAGTTCATTTCCGAATGCGGAGATTGGAACGATTGGAACGATGGCGGGTGTGTGTGCGTGCATGCGCGCGCGCGATGGCTACGTTAATATACGTGTGAAACGCAGGCACATTCGGTCATTAACGTGCACTAGAATCAACACAGTGAGCTCCTTTCTGATGAAAAAACAGAATTTGGACTCTATACTCAAATAGGCAATGCATTTTAAATGAAAAGTGTCCAACTGTGAAATTGTCCAATGCAGTAACTTCATTAACAGATTTCAAACTGAATGCATAATTGATTATTAAATGTAACAAATACCCACATTTTATTAATAAGCCCACACGTAATAATTGTTTAAATGTTAATGTTCAACAATGCGATAAATAGGAGTGTGTAATTGCAATGAATAATTACAATGCAGACGCGAATTATAAAGCATTATGGTAATTTAAATATGCTATATCTTAATTGAAAACATCTGCAATATTTACAAAATAGCAAATATAAGCCCACATTTTTTATTTTAGGAATGTTTTCACTATGTAAATACACTAACAAAAAAGGAAACTTTCCAAAGTGCAAAGAGCTCATTTGAAAAACTATGAATACAATTGATAAAATAAGCTAATTCTACGATTATTAATTGGGGACAAGAGCCAATATTACACATAGGACAGGATATTTAACTTCTGTAAGCAGGTGGCACAGCAAGCTTAACATCCTCGCCAAAGGACGTCTCACTCCAAAGCGCCGCCTTGCTCATCCAGCTCAAATTCAGATCCCTAACATTGCGGCACAGTGCGCCAAACCGCTAATAAATCTCTCCTCTACATACATACATACACATATGACATCCATATAAACATACAAACATGAAGTGTGTGTATATCATATTGTATGCTTAAAAGCCCTTGACACATGCAAAGGCACGTGGCTGACAAAACAACATTCCCCGGATCGAGCAAAAAAGTACAGAAAAAAATAAAGAAAAAAGGAAATCTAGCCAAACTGCCACCAACCCTTGATCATCGGCGGAGTGGGCCAGCGTAGACGAGACATGAGGGGGTTGTGGGCCGTCACTCACTGCACAAGGCGCTGGGCTGGCAGTGGGAGCAGCTGCTCCAGGGTGAGGCCCTGGAAATCGGGTCGCGATTCCTGGAGCTTCTTGAAGCGAGCAAACTCCTTGCTTTTCTTCAGCTGCACCTGCAAGAGCAAACAGCGCCGTTGCACGTGCAGTAGCGGCACGCGGGGGCTGCTGGCTTGCCGACCGCGCGCAGCCGAACCGTCGTTCCTGCCACGCCTGTGGTTAAGGTCTCCAAGCGCTCCTGTTTCTCTCTCCAGCAGGAAAACAGAATAAAAAAAACTAAACTGGAACCACTTGAAAGAACCCTTGACACTCAATGAACCTTCACTGCACGAATACATCTCTATTGGTGAAAAGCCAAAGACACATTCAAGCTTTCCTAGAACGAACCAAATTTACCGAGTGAAATGCTGGGAATAAGCTATTGCAGTGAGAGTCGCCCTGGAGAGGATAATCCTAACCCTACGTAGCAGCATAGCCGGGGCCATGTTCTCCAATCGTGAATCGATGAATATGGTACCAATGTAAATGAGTGTGAGCCCAGGCTACAGAATACAAAAGCAAATGGAGCAACGATCTGCAAGGTTTTTTTTTCACGGGCAATCTTTTCTGTTTTGCTGCCTTACAGTGTGTGCCAACATGGAATGTTATCTCCATATATATAAAAGGCAAAGTTGTGAATGTGTCTGTTCAAAATGTTTCGCGCACTTCCCGGCATGCAACAAACTTGAAATTTGCCATGTGGGTACTTTCCAGACTGTACACCATGCAACAATTATATAGCCTGGGCGCAATAATGCATATATTTTTTGCACGGAAAGCGAGCTGTGACGTTCAAATCTGTCATGTGACCCGCACATGTGGAAGCGTAACGCATTGCAGTGTAGTGGTTAGCGCGCTGCGCTACGAACCCAGTGACCCGAATTCGATTCCCGCTCACGGCCACCACCGGTGACGATTATTTTAACCGGTCCTGGGCCTCCCCTAGGTCGACTCAGCCTCAAACGAGTAAGTGGTGTGGTGTGTCAACATCGCCACTGGGGAGGCAAAGGCGGCCGGCCATGGTGAATCCAAGTCCCAGGCGAAGCCGGGTAGTACAGCTAGCATCCCATAAAAGCCACCTCGTACCTGTAGCAATTTGCAAGATGTCTCCAAGTTGTCTATGTAATTGGTGTAAAGAAACAGGCAGAGAGAAAAGCTCTCAAATCCCAATCCAAAGTTGCTTTTCTCCAAATGACTGAGGAATGTCCTGAAAATGTAAACGAAACAACAAGGCATGACTTATAGCAAGTGGGCAGCACGTGATGGGGAAAAAAGCCAGCACCGCGTCACAAATTTCTCAAGTTGTCACCCGGGCCGTCCTTGCAAAAAGAGACGATGACATTTCCTGCGTCTCAGTGGGTTTATTTAATCTCCTTGTTAAATAAAGGATACAACAGTAATATGTGTAAGCGGAAGTCGTTGAGCAAGGTGATTTCCATGCTACATCCTCGCACGTCGTGCCGGCATTAATAGCCGCTCACATACAGCTCTTTACCAACAGTCTATACGAGTTTTTTGGTGATACCACATCGGCAGCGGTGCACAAAGCACAAACAACAAAATAACTCAACAAATTCGTGCATAATATTAGGTCCTTAAAATTGAAAGAATGTTAAGACACTTGGACTCCAACCTCTCTGGCCTATGTGCTGTGAAGCATGGCCATTGCCCGAGATGTCACCTATTTTATATTTTTCCTTTGTGGACAGTGTTTTTGATGGATTTGTTAAGTTCTTCAACATTATACATCGTTAATGGTGGGAATTGTGTCGATTAAAAAAAACAACCCAGTTGTATTATTCATTGCAAACGTAAATAAAACTTCAACCAGTGAAGTTACCTGTTCACTGCATGGATTTCCTTGACGGTGCTGAAGATGGCATTTCTGACTTCCTGGCGGAGTGTTCCTTTGGCATTCATGATATCTACAAAATACTACAGAGATATACACACACACACACAAGCGCACCAGCTCATAACCAATATACTCAAACGTATCCAGAAGATGTCTATCTGTAAACAAATGTGGGATTGGTGGATCACCACGATCTATCACCATGTGAGGGCACCCAACATGCAGACCTAATAGGCGATCACCTCCGATTAGCACCGTTGACTATGTACGGTGCGCAAAAGAATTTCAACATACGTATAGCAGAACAGCAATGGATGGCAAAACAGCAAGTAGGTTGCAGCTCTATCGGTATTTCTTTTTAGGAATCTTCTCCTCCTATGCAACCCTGTGGTATGAATTGCACATTATAAAGATGATCATTGGATTAAGGTCCAGCTATATATAGAATGCAGCCATTCTTTAACAGGGATTGTTTCAATCATGATTGTGTGTTTAAGATAGATCATGCATAGGTCACGCATATAGAAGATCAAATCCGTGAGTATGCAGCAGTGTAGCAAGTAAGAGTCTCTTCCGATGTCTATACTCAACATAGTACTGGTCTAACATCTTCTTGAGGATGCTGCTCAACGTGAATTAAGACTAATTGAGAATTTCCATATAAAACTATGCCATCGTGCAATATTAACATAATAATTTATACTACAATTAGAACGGTTGGCTATTTACGGTGCGAAAGAAGTTCAACATACATGTACATACAATAATGATTCAATCTCTACACAGAGGACAAAGATATATACGCTATGCGTAGACACACAAGGCAAACCGCTGCAATGTAAACCTTAATTACGTTCCGTCTTGTAGCTGGAATAAAACATTTAATTAGTTGAAGCATTTCTCTCCCCGGGTGATTTTCTCGTGTATGCAGCAAGGTATCCCACAGTACGATGGCACAAAGGCAATCAAATTTGTGAGAAAGCCGTGCACCTAGCCTGGCATCAGCGCCATGACGATGTCGCTGCCACTTAGTGGCGACCTACGATTGCTGTTGTTATGCAAGCTATTTGGTTTTTCTTACAAGAGAGACTCGTGTCAATTTGGCAGCAACTCCTTAATTTCTAGGCCTAACAGCACAATCAGCAATGCATCAGCCACTATTGCTTAAAGAAATAATGAAAGCATAAAAACGTCCTAAATTGTCTCCATAAATACCCACTTCCTTACTAACCTAACCCCCATCACGTCCTAGATTCAATCAGCTGGTAATCAATACTTGGAAAATTGAAGTCCAGCATGACAATGATTGTCGGCTTCTTTTTTTTTTGTTAAAGCTGCCCTTACCTGCTCAACAGCATCCGTGGCACCCCCCAATAATACAATCCTGTCGGAAAAATTAACGTGCACATTGTGTCCGTTTTGTTGTTGGATACTTCTGTGCAAATTGCGCGAACAAAAAACCACAGACATGAGGTTTCCCACATGCCTGTGCTGCTGTCATGTTTTATCAAATTTGCTCTCCCACCCTTCCGTCCTGTCAGCCCAATCGCTCCTCGATGGCCCAGTTTTGACGTGCGCACACACACACACACACCTTGATCTTCGCACTTCTTCAGACTTACGTGAAATCTGAACACAAACTACACTCTGGGAGACAAATATGTAAACTCCACATACAGGCGTCAGGGTCGGGGTCGAACCCGTGGCCTCCTATATACCAGGCGAGGTATTTAACATCTCGCAACCACGGCACCACTCAGCCTATCCCCTGCCACCTTCCATGTTGGTTAGCCGGCATGCGATAACCGAGTCACCCAACGGAATGCGTGTGTGCTGTGCTTAAGCGACGGTTAAATCCAGGAGGCATCCGGTTCATATCCAGTGATTCTCAGCATCCACTGCTCCTTAAGCTGCCCAGCTGTTGCCGACGCTGGAGGACGGAGAGCTGCTGGACACTGGGAGGGGCCATGGGTTTGGCACGTACGTCAAATTGTCTCCCTGCTCAAATGAACAATGGGTCTACGCTGATCTCTGATGATAATGCCGAGCCAGTGATGGCGATCCCACATTATGATGGGGGGGGGGGGAGGGCAGTAGATCCATTTACACAAGGATTTGATTGAGTAACATTCTAAATATTAATTAAGCACTCAAATCTCAGTGCCTTTAGACCTAGATTGAAAATTAATTTCTTTATAAATGCTTTTTGTGTTCGGTTTGTTGGTCCTTCCCTCGCACCTCCGATTAGCACGTTTGGCTATGTACGGTGCGAAAGAAGTTCAAAATATGTACAGTGCCATCCAGATGGATAAATAATGAAAATAATAAACCATTTAGAGCGCTTTATGATTCCGCGGTGTACTTGACCATGCTGGGAGGGTGGCGACAGGCAGTCGGGGTAGAACATGGTCCGATATCACTTGCCACTGCCATTAGCCATGACTGGGGATTTTACTTAGGTCACCAGGTACATAGCACAGTGCCGCTAACAACTGCGCTACCACTCGCCGTGCCATAAACCACTTACATGGGCAAAAAGAAAACTCCAGTTATACTGTAATTGTCTCATTTTCCCAAAAATTGAGAATGGGTTAAGGAACTTCTAATATTTAAAAGTAAAAAAAGCAAGCTAAAAAAAGGTAACATCTCACTTAGGCATAAAACCGATTAGGGGAACAATACATGATATTCCCAAGACTAAAATGGTCCCTTTGCATTAAAAAAAACGATTCGGTTTATTAATCTATCAAGAGAATTACTCTACATAAATTAACATCAAATCACTTTCCCAAGGTTTCTCTAGAACCAGAGTGATTAGCTGCAGTAGGTTTTTGTTTTTTACAGTATTTGTTAATAATTAAGAAGTACCAATTAAAAAGGCATAAGCTGTTAAGCCAAACAAAACCCAGTGCTAATGTATTCAGAGTTTGGAAGAAGAAAAAATATAAGCACATAGCAGAATATTACCAAGGTCACGCAGCCTTGGGGAAAATTAAGAATTGTTCCTTAACCAATTCAGAAAAGAATTTGCTCTAGAACTGCCTCTCAAAAGCCTTCTCTTAAAAATAAATATATCCCAATTTAATAAGAGGACACTTTTTAGTTTAAAATGCAAACACTTTGCGTTATTGTTACAATGACAAAGTTCGCGGTAAGACAGTGATTTTCACTCAGCCACAACTAATTTGTGAGCAAACTATGTGCTTTCCCTCGAAACAATTTCATATTAACCGATTCCAGTTCAATCAGCAGGAGGAACAAACGTTGGAATGTCACATTTAGGTGTATTAAATAATGGTGCAGATTGCTTTCTGACATAATAATATAGTTGACCTGTTTAGCTGCTTTTTTGCTGCCATTGTCAATGATATCTTACATGGTTTTATGTTCTCCCCTACTCATTACTAGCCAATGGTTTTACCAAATTCAAACTTATTCCATCTTGTGGCCTTTATATTCCTTTTGACGTTCGCTCTTTAATTTCGCAGTCCTCTGAGTGCACTGTCCATCACGATGCACGTTCTTTCACCTTTAATTACGTTGATATCCATTTTAAAATCACGTTGCTTCTCCAGGGAATTGCATCTGTTGCTTAGAATCGGTCCAAATATTCCTACCTCCTAAACGAGATTAATGACGTTAACTGTTTTCTTTTGCCTCGATCGGTTTTGTCTTCGCTTTCCAAATCATCATCATCATCATCATCTGCAGTGGCGGGCAGTCCCCTCGGGTACAAAGGTTGGACACACGTCTTCCACAGGTGGTGGGAATCATCGATACTTCCGGAGAAGGCTGGACACAACGATCTGAGAGTTACACTGCCGTCTGCCACTACTGCTACTGGAACAGCTGATTCTCAGGAGGTCAGGAGGTCACAAAGAAAACAAATCCTCGTATAGCCTGCACAGACTGTTGGGGCAAATGCTGTTAGCGAGTAGCAACTATGAAGTCCGGCATGGCACACAAGGGGGTAGGTGACCAACACCCACACCTGGCTGCCTGTCTCCCCAGTGGCAATGTTTACCACACATCGCACCAGGTACTCATTTGAGGATGAGTCGACCTAGGGGAGGCCCATGACCGTTTCAGAAAATCGTCACTGGCGTTGGCCGTGAGCAGAAATCGAACTCAGAGTCTCCGGCTTCGCAGCGCAGCACGCTAACCGCTACACTACCGCTCCCCACCGCCACACACACTCACACTCTACATCCTCATCACATTTACAGAGCCACCTTACACAAGCCAGCCTCAGAAGGCAAGCTGGGGTGAAGGGGTCAATGCGGTGGTCATCTGTCGACGTCTCACAGTAGTATCAAGGCGGCAGGGGCAGGGCACTGCATTGAAAGGCATTAAAAGCCTACTTGGTTTAAAGCTTCCGTGACATTCCTTTTTTTGAACCACAATAAAGAAAAACAGGGGGCCCTGAGTTTCAATTGCACACCTTCAAGCATAGTCGTAAATTTTAACGTGTTATATGTACGATTAAATAAATAAATCCACATGGTGATGGTCATGAGAGTAAAACTGGTCTTTCAATGACATTTCAATGGTTTAAATAGAGACGATATATCCAGACGGTGGTGGTGATGATAACACTAAAAGAGCAGAACCGTGGCGATCAGGTGTCAACCTCACAACAACCCTGGGACTTACGAGACGGAAGGAGGTAAAGGCAAGACGCTGCAGCAGTCCATTATTAATCCAGGTCCTCCAGTGGACCGAATCAAAGTTATCAGTGGTTACCAAACAAAGGAAACGGCCCTCGTGGTTCGTAACCAATTTCATAAATGTGAGCTAAGGACGTGAAAAACGTTGAATTGATTGTTATGCGGCGAGCACTTTGCACGGCATTTTAAAAGTGCGCCCCGAGAGTGGATAAGAGAGGCCGACTGAAGTGACTTCAGAAGAAGTTCTGACGTGTTCCTGCAGGGCCCTTCTCCGACGGGAAGTGGGCGGTTCCCTGATGGCAGCAATTTTGTCTCGGGACATGACGATGATTGTACAATTAGAACATCAATGGGCGCAATGGATTTAAAAGCGGCTGGAAAGCCATCCCATTAATGAAGCATTATTTCATTCAAAGATTCAACACCAGCTGCATGCATGCATGTGTGTTGAACTTATTTCACACCGCACGTGGCCAACTGTGCTGCAAGAAAAAGATGGGCCCTCTCACAGAGATAAGCACGTAATTTATTATCATTTGATCATTATACTTTAATGAACACCAGGTAAATATCGAGACTATTTATTATACTGGTGAGACCGGGGTACCAAAGAACAATACTGTTACCCAAGTAATTAAGGAGTTCAAAATAAAGCAGTGCAAGGTTAGAATAGCGAGCAAATTTTAAAAACAATTTAGCAGTTTACGTAAAAAAATTATAACCTACAAAATATATATGAATCTCCCCAAAATTACCTCATCCCCTCTCCAAACCATTTCTCACTGGAACGGAAAAGGCGTGACACCACACGCACGCCACATGTAACATCACAACCACCAAGGGACCTGGACTCCCAAGAGAAGCCAAGGGGTCTGGACCCTTGACAAGAGGAAAGCAATCTTTACTCAAGAGGAGCCTGGAGGGAAGCAAAGGAGTTTAGACCTCAGAAAAGAGACTAGAGGTGTGTGGACTCCCGAAGGGACAACAGACAATGGGTGAAACTATCGATGGAATGGCAGCCGGTAAAGGGAATGTGCCGGAGAGAACGATCACTGGGGAGATGGAGCAACGAGATCAGCTTATGTGCAGGAGCGAGATGGATGTGTTGCGTTGCAAGGTCACGGGAGGCTCGGCGATGCTGCAGGGGAGGCCTTCACCCAGCAGTAGATGGATCATGGCTGCCGATGGCGAAACAGTTCAGCCGCAATGGACATTCTACTCAATTTAGATTAGAGCATTCAAATTGTACGCATGCATTTTTGTGGAATGGTGACAATGCTTTAGGGCCACACGTACGTACAGCAGTGTATGGCATTGGCCTCTCATTATTTAAAGGTCACGAGTTCAAATCTCGGTCACGCTCCACGAGACTGCTCATTCCTCCAGGGTCTGTAAAACAAATGGCACCTGACGGGCGCCACTTAGCGGTAAAGAGTCCGTCTCAAGGATAACCTGGCTCCTGCCTAAGGAGTATGGAATTTCCCACACCAGACAAAAATATCTACACTTGGCGATGGTAGAAAGCGTATTTACAGTACCAATGGTCTATTGGTTATAACATTGGAACGGAAATCCAGAAGGTCATCGATTCAAATTCCCGACACAGCAGTTAACACAATGGGCAAGTTTGTTAAAAACTACCACCTCTGTCCACCCAGCAAAACAAATGGGTGCACCACAGTTAATTGATCGGCAGGTCGTGTGTAATGGGGAAAACGTGGGTAACTTCCCCCCCCTATTTTAAGATGTCTGGTCAATGTGGTATAGCAGGCCAAATGCTTTCTAGAAGAGCTCCGACAGCTCTCTCTAGTGCAGGCCCTTCCCTCAAGCAGTGTAATGAGAAAGTAATCGCAGGGCTGCACCTTTACCTGTTACCTTTATCTATGGAGGGTGTGAGAGGACTATTCTAAAGGGGTGCTCGCAAGCAAGCGGGGTGGTTCATGAGTCAGCACCATGTAAGGCCAGCCGTCTTTGCCTCTCCATTACTGTAAAGCAGTGTCTCAGGTATCCATTTTCTGCTAAGTCAACCTTCAGGAGGTCAAGGTCAGGTAGAGAAGACAAATGTTAATGGTGGGAAAAGCAAGTCAAGCGTGTATAGAAGCACACACATATGGGTTAAAGTGCATACAATTTCTAAAAACAAAATGCTAAGCACCAAAACCACTACACTACAAAGACAATGCTTGGGCAGATAGGCCTTTCCTAATAATTGAAAAACTATTGGTTCCAATTCCTTTAAACGCTTTATTCCCACAATATAAAACACTTAACGAGGCAACAAAGACGTTCAAATTAAAATAATTTGAAACATATCCATTCACTGATGATGTTTCTTATGTAAATTTTAACCATGAAAGCACCGTATTAATGTGCTATTTGAAGAGATCAGGCATGTACCCTGGGGGCCAGGGGAGTGGGTGAGTGGATTGTAGTGCGCGGGGAGGAGAAAGGAGGTGGAATAGAAATTAAATGAGTCACCTCTGTACAATATGAAACGGTCCACATTTCACATGCCCAACCTGTGCTGCCACTTTGCCCTGGGGTATCCAACGAAGTGGTGTGTGGGCTTTTCATTTTGTTCAGCATTTGCCAGAATTAGGGGTTAGGTGGAGAGTAGGAATGCCTGGCTCACACGCTTGGGGCTATATAACCCTAGAAATATAGGAGCCTCGTTTTCAAAGTCTTCACTGTAAGCAGTAAAACAGGAAAAAGAAACAAACTAATTCTGCAAATCCAGTCGAACCGATCAACCTTGTAATCTTAAAAGGTTTTCATTTTTTTAAAAGAGGGCTGCTTTGTCCAGAAACATAAAATGTCAAATTTCGCTTTGGAAGTATAAAAGCAAGTGCCGGTTGCTGTAAACTGAAAATTAAATATTTTTAAAAGAGCACTGGTGTTTAGTGTTGCAATGGTTAATCAGAGTCAATAATCTATCGCTTCAGTCAATAAGAGCAAATTGGCAACAATAAGAGTGGTTGTAAGGCCAACTTCTTAAAAACACCATTAATTTAATTGAAGGCACAATTAGGACATAATTGGATGGGGAGAGAACATTGGCAATGCTGCTGTGCTTTTTCTTTGTTTCATAATATTTACTACCAGATCGTGGGTGACACAATGCACAACCATTCCCCGCTCGTGTCATTGGCATTATCCAACAAGCCAGTGCCGATTTAGGAAAATCACAATAGCACTCATCAAGACAAAAGCAAGTCCAATGTCCTTGTCAATAAGATTGACCAAGGATGATAACGGTTGGAAGTTTGAAGGCTAAAAGTTATTAACTGTTATTATATTTCCTAGACATTTATTTGAATTTAATTCACTTTTCAGCTGCTCTATCCAATAAAGTAATTGTAGTTCTGATCATGGACTTTGAACGGTAAATGCTTGGGACCTCCTTTTATAATCCTCATGAACATTTCTCATGAGTGTGTTGTGCATTTAGGCACAATGCTTTCTATGACCGCTTCTCCATCTGATATATGCACAACATGGGGGCATGGAGCAAGGCTCGATTACCGTTTGTGGCCCCGTGAAGGAAATCCCACATTGATGAGGACCAGCCTCTCCATAGGACGACTTTTGATATTCTCAGCGCTTTGCGCAACGTGGTCACATTTCCAACCTTACGAGTGCCAAAAATCTCTCTCTCTGCAATCTCACAAGGACTCGTGCCATGTCATTCTGAATAGCCATTATGCCCCCTTTGATGGTGACAAATGACCAATGTCGATATTTATCCTACCCATACTGGCGAGCCACTCGATGACACAGAATCAAAATCTTCAGTTTGGCCTGCAAGGAATCCACTAAGCTATGAAGCTCTTTTTCACAGATGCCCAGTATGGGCGGAGTAGTGTAAGCTAAAGGGTGCTCATGGTGAAGCCCTTGCAATTGCCCCCTCACGCCACTGACACCAGTAGGGCCTCCACCAGGGGGACATCCAGGGAAGCCCTCTCTAGTTTGTTGGCCTACTCCGTCACGCTGACCACAAATCTTGGAAGAGGTGGATGTGCCCACACTTTAACCCCACCAGGCGTGGACCTGCCAATCGACGAACTCTGGGCGTACCCCATTTCTACTGGCAGGTGGACAGAGGCAATTTAAACAAACGTGCCCACTGTGTCAAATGCCGCTCTGGGAGATCGCGTGCTGCCCATTAACGCCGCGGCGGCATCCTGAGGAGGAGGAAGAGGAGGAGAACGCCGCATGGAGGAGGAGGAGGAGGAAAGCACGCATGCGTTCAGCGCCTGGTTGCTCACAGTGACGACGAGCTGCAGGTGGTGGAGGTACTGCTGCTCGCTCTGCACCAGCTCGCGCGCCGTCCTGTTACGCTTGCGCTCCCAACGCTCGCGTTGCTCCGACACAAGGCCCTGGCCGGGACGCAGGCGCACGGCCATGACGGTCGGCGTGCTGTCGTGGTCGCTGTGGCTCACGCCTGTGGGGCCCGGCGAAGGGAGGGGGTGGGTGGGGGGGGGACAGCAGCAGCGTTACAAAAAAACAAAGCCCCTCAATACAGCCGTTGATAGAATGTTGGAGTTCGTGCTGCTACGGAGCACCTGTTAAGGTCGGCAAAGCACACAATAGGATGGTGTAACCAGTACCACGCACGGCTACCTCCATCTCCCCAAAGTCCATGTTGAAGTACTGTAGCAGGTACTCATTGAAGGCTGAGTTGGTCTAGAGGAGGCCCAGAATTGGTTTCAATTATTTGTCACAGGTGTTGGCTGCGAGCGGGAATCGAACTCGTGTCAGCGAGTTTGTAGCGCAGTGCGATAACCGCGACACTATTGCTCCGCAGTTTGCATTCATAATTTTATAAATTTATTTTGGAACTGGCAGAGGAGGTCCCATGATGTAGATGCTCACCCCGAGCTCTCATTAATCTGATAGTGGCATTATCTTTGTGCTGTACGCCTTTTGGCGTGCTGTGGTCTAACACCGTTTGAGATGAAGAAAGCTGTCTCTGGTGTGGACCAATCAGTTCCAAAGACAATGCATATATTATGTTTTTTTGTTTGCATTCTGACCACAAGTATTGTGGGAAATGCAGACATGATTCCTTGTAAAAGTTGCTTTTTTTGTTGCCAGAAAAAAATGGGAAAAAACATATTCTCATTTATAAGTTGGTGAACCTATTTATACATGTGCTTGACTGTTGTTGGAGCATATATTTGAATTACCTTAAACTTGTAGTGATTTCAGAGTCCAAGCGTAAATTGGAAACTCCAACTGAAGTATTCTATGCTTCTTTCGGTAAAGTCACGTGTTCACTTTATTTTCATTTTTTAAATTATTTTTTCTATCTACGTGACATTACCGAAAGAACCACAGAATACAAATTCCTTGCAGTCACGAAAGTTTTAAGTCAAAATCCAACTCAAGTACTTTAAAGTTCTAAAACTCTCCATTTGATACCACAAAGTCGCCCTCGTGTAGTTGTCATTTCCCTCGATAGTAGAAAAGGCTGCCACTGATTACGTTTGGCGACTTATCAGAATCTTTTTTTTATAAACAAATGTAAGGAAGGTAATGTTTTTGGCAAATGTTTGCTGTCCTGTGCTATGTAATACTGCAAGCGGTCCCTTGTGCTCAATACATGCTGATTTATTCATGTGAATTTACATTAAGTTGGTTGGTTGCTACTTCAGCAATCATATATAGGTTGATTAAAGCAATCAGTTTTTTTTTTGCTCTTGCTATAAAGAATGTTCAAATGCAATTCTTCAACAGGCTGACTGGCCTTCATTAGGTGGTGAGAAAAAAAACACTGAAAAGGGCCAGCCGGCCAAAACATTGAGTTACTCCTCTTCTGTGCATGAGAATTTTTTTTCAGTTTTAATCAACACATATATTTAAATAAATTTGCAGTCCAAGGAGCAGTAAGTAATTTACAAAAGGTGGATCTGCGGGGTTAGGCATCTATGAAAGGTTAGCCGTTACGGACGCGTTTGCCGACCGCGCTCTCTTAATTTGTTAAACTGCGGGTAAATATAATCCTGAGTCGCACGTGGACAAGAGCAGCAAAAAACGGGCGCTTGCCCTCGCGTGCACGGACGGACGCACGCACGCAAGGGGTTGATAATAATCATCATCCTACAGATTGCTTCACGAAAGGGTGACTTATGCGTCACAGGGAGGGGGCGGACGGGGAGGGGGCACGGAGCCAATGAGCCACGATCAAGTTGGCTTTTGCTAAATAAATCAAATGAGCTCAAAATACAAAAAACCGTCATCCGTTTTTCCATTACGGCGCGTTCGATTCCTCCGAGAACGCCGCGCAACCGGGCACCTTTACAAATTAAGCACAGCTGCTGTGTACTCACACCTGCGGCGATTGGGAAATAAATACGAGGGGAAAAAAAACCCACACACTCACGCTTGAGATGATGACCTTCGGATGACAGCCGGCTCAATGGCCATTGAAATTGAAAACGTGAAATTAAAAAGAAAGTCGAATGCAAATCGAACATGCCGCAAACCTTAAAATAAAATGGAACTTCTTCTCACGGGCTAATGATAAGTAGGGCAAATGCAACATCGCTTTATATGAATAGAGAGACGTTTGTTTCATTTCAAAACATTCAAGGGAGCGGCCGAACATCCCAATGGGCCCCCCCCCCCCCCGCCGCCCCTGCTGTATTGAGATATTATCCACTGGATAAAGGACACCAACAAAAATAATTGAAGGCGATATTGTGAATAGAGTGTGCTTTACTTGTAAATGTGCCTTGAGGTCATTTAAACACACCCCAGTTTAGCTGCATAATTTTCACAGAAGCTATGTTATTTGCTATTCCGAAGACAACGTAAGTACACATTACAATGAATATACTTCATGAAAAGCACCCCCATCTTGCTTCCCCGCAGCTGCGAAACAAACGGTACGTTAATAAAGTATTCTACACCGTGGACATTAAAGGCCTCGTTGCAGTATTTCCTAAAAAAAAGCAGGGGTGTTAATTCTGTAGCCTTGTGTGGGAAATTCTAATAATCCAGGTCAATGAAATATGTGGGCTGCCAACGATCCTCCTACCGGGTAATACACTCAAATAAGCGTTTTTATTTCCTCTGTAAATTGGCAATGAACATGCCTGTAAACAAGTTATTGCATTCTCAGCGGACGGCACCAACGCAAATTCGTGCAAACATACAAGGCAAACCGAAACCACCTTTACAGCCGCAATAGCAACTGTCTTTTTTCCATAACACAGTGCTACAAAAAATACATAATTCTTTATTTTACTACATAAAGAGATGCCAATAAAATAATTAAAATTGGAATCAAACAAGCATGTATCTAAAATGTTTAATGAGGTACCCAATTATATCAGCAAATTGCTTGTTATTTAAAACATGGGTTTTTTTCTTTGAGTGTTATTTAATTAGCAGTTTAGCACCCACATTGCGGCATGAATGCCAAAAGTGCTTTATTACATTTGTTGTATACAATTATTATTTATACCCAACATTTTTTTTTTTTAAAAAAGGTCGACTACAGTGAGCCTTGTTATTTTATTTCCTGGCTGATTGTTAGGCTGATTGAGAAACACATTTGGCAAAAGCTTGATTGGGGTCAATGCAGTTCACAACGGAGGTCAATGACCCGACTTCTACACCCCCCCCCCACCCCATTATTACGACTAAGCTTAAGCCAAAATTAAACCTGAAATTCGCTGTTTGTTCCTATTTTCATGCGCTCATTAATTACATTTTATCGGACAATATAACCCGCGAATCTCCCAGCCACAAGGAACGTCGAAAAATGTCAAATTATTTCACAAATCCCTTTGTACAACGCGGCACGGCCAAATGTGTCCTTCGCTGGTGCAGTCAGCGGAAGCGGTTCCCAACTTTAACTTAAATGCCGCATCAATAGGCTGAGCCGTTATCTCCACGTACAGGTCCAATTTAAAATGCCGCAGTTAAAAAAAAGCAGCAATTAGTATTTCTAATAAAGATAAAAGGAAGGCAAAAAAACCCTGTGGTGTTGGCAGCCGGCCACATTCCTTCAGCTTTTCATTTCAAATCAGCTGTAGTCCCCCACCCCACCACAATTTGACTCTTATGCAACTCTCTCTCCCTCTGTAATAACTTAAGAGCAATGACTCTCTGCCTGTCCACACTGAAGAAAACACCATTAACTGGCTCACTCGTGGGCTTTCCCTATTGTTCACTTTAATTGCCGCCCGTTCGCCGATGTTTGTGGCCGATCGCAGGCGTCGGGTTTGGGGGGCGGAGGCGGGGGGGGGGTCGGGGCGGCCCGAGGCACCACGGCGCCCCCCACACCGAGTGGACGAGCACCACACCCCCACCACCAACAACAACCGCCATTCGCCACTAAGTGGCGGTGACGTCACCACGACGCTTGTGCCAGGCCATGTGCACCTTGAGGCCACGTGAAGTGTCGAACGCCCGCTGGCAGGAGGTCACGGGGCAGACCCAGGTGCCATGGGGTCGACTGACTGAGATGACTGGCTGATGCACCACCTGTGCCCCCTACTGTGCCAACCTGCTGTGCTTTAGCCACTCGGTGCTCCGCTCGTTGTTGTGAGCGTCGCTCCTCCGCCCTCCGTTGTTGTTGGAGGGCGACTGCCTCCAACTGCCCAGTAGCAGCGTCCATCACGAGCCTCCTCCACAGAGGCCGATCATGACACCGCTGATACCAGTCATCGGCAAGTCCACTCAGCTCCACGTCCTCCCGTACCACATCACTCCATCTCTTCTCTAGCCCATACCGTGCCCGTTTAGGCCCCTCGATCCGGCCGAACAAAAGCTGTTTCGGCATGCGGTGGCTGGGTATGCGGTGGCTGGGCATGCGGGGTACATGACCCAGCCAACGCAGCCTTGCCCCACCACAACCACCACCACATCCACACCACCACTCCCCCACCACCACCACACCCCCACCACCACCACCACACCCCTCACACAACCCACCACACACACAACCCACCACACCCACACCCACCCCCACACCACCACACCCACCCCCACACCACCACACCCACCCCCACACCACCACACCCACCCCCACACCACCACACCCACCCCCCCACCACCACACCCACCCCCCCACCACCACACCCACCCCCCCACCACCACGCCCCCCACCACCACACCCACCCCCCCACCACCACACCCACCCCCCCACCACCACGCCCCCCACCACCACAACCACGCCCCCCACCACCACACCCACGCCCCCCACCACCACACCCACGCCCCCCACCACCACACCCCTCACACAACCCACCACCACACCCCTCACCCCCCCCACCACCACACCCCTCACACCCCCCACCACCACACCCCTCACACAACCCACCACCACACCCCTCACCACCACACCCCTTACACCCCCCACCACCACCGCACCACACCCCCCACCACCACCGCACCCACACCCCCCACCACCACCGCACCCACACCCCCCAC